ATATATATATATATATATATATATATATATATATATATGTAAATACCTATATAACTAGAAGTACTAGCAAATCTCTTCGAAATTGGTATTACCTAGAGGGAAACTTGTACACAAACCACCAAGACTGTTTTCCCAATGCACATGCATTCAGTGCATATCTGATACAGAAATTGGTTATACATACACAGCCAGTTTTCATACTAGAACCAACTCCAGCATGTCTTTGTCAGTTTTTGTTTAGAAGTTAAGGCACATAAGCTTCAGAGGTCAAAGATCAACAGTAACTGATGGAGATTATTTCGGTTACATTCACAGTCATTTACTTCACAACACTTCTTGGTTTACATACCAACAATCTTACCAAACTGTCACAAACAAATACGAAGCTACTAGAAGAAACGTGGGATCCTCACTTCAAGAGAAAATCTGGATCTGATCTGATTAATTTGTTGCGCTCAGCTGAGCTCAGATATTTGAAATAGGAGGAAAGTTGGCCATTTTAGTGTTGCAAGTTTGTCTTTTAATATCCTGTTTAACTGATTAATTTAGTAACTGAACCTCAAACCACTATCAAGAAATAAAATAAACCGGATTTATAAAGAAGCTTTACAGATTTTAATAAAGGCATTCTTTAATAACACAAATTGAGTTAAAGGTAAATTAAAAAATTCATCTTTACTAAGATGTATATTGCCTAAAACTGTATAAATAAAGCATGTATTTACAAAAGAAATCTTTAAGATGCCTATGTACATCATGCAGAAAATAGTCACTGAATGTATTAAGTATCACAAAGATACTTCATTAAGAAAGTGTCTTCCCACAGTCACAAACCATATAAGAAATAATGTTATCAGGTTATTTTCCATGCTTGTATGATTTTTTTTTTCTCCACTCAAAGCTTTACACAATTGGAATGGAATTACCATTAACAATTACAAACTTTGAAGCCTAGTTATACAGTCAGCCTAGGATTAACAAATTCATTAATTCATTAAAGAAAAGCAAGGAATGCCAACATCCTCCTCTCCACAGTAACATACAGCTGAGAATTATCTAATTAAACAACTTTGTATTTGCACAGATATCACATTGTGTCTTAAAAGCTCAAACTGAATTCACTTGAACAAGTCAATAAATGACACCACTAATAATAGCAAATGCAATCAGAGCATAAACAAATCCACTCACTGCTTACTGTTTAGTTCAATACCTACCTCGTTTCTTGTTGTAAATAATATTCTTACACAACAGGTCATTGTGACAGAGTACCACTGGTGATCCTAAATTTGACAGTCTTTCCTTCATCCATGCCATCTCTTCCTGAAGAACTTGAGGACTTGGAATATCACTTAAAAACCTTTTTAGGTATAAGAAGTCTGAAAGTTAGTATTTAGTACTTTGTGTTTTCTACTAAGCATTTGTAATAACTTATTTTCCTCTAGATTCTTATTTGCAAATAGTTCAACAGACCTCTCCCAAACCAGGGCAACTCTTTCCCCTAGCACAACAGCAGTCAAATTATGACAATTATTTCTTTTTGTCCTCCCTAAAAAACAATTCTCTGAAGATCATCTGTGCTGTAAACATAACAGTCCAAAAATCAAGAGTAAAACTTGAATACAATCCTGCACATTTTTAAAGGAATAAAGATTAATAGGATTGTAGCATGAGTTTAATTCACTTTTTGTTCACATTAACTTCCTTCAAGAATACACAATAGTTAAGTACCATGTACTGTATGTATCTACGCAGAGAAACTGAAACATCCCTTTCTAGTTCTAGTCACAAGTGAATGTTTACGTAGCCATTTTATCTTCTAGACTTACAATTAAGTACTCAAGTTCTCATTTTCCTCAAGAATTTTATGCTGTAGAAGAAAAAAATTTCAAACAACTTTGCTAGAGCATTCTTTAATTACAATGCAAGAGGAATCACAGTTGGCATCAGAGAATGATTTCAGAGAAGTTCCATGAAAAATGTTTTTCTGCTTCCTGAGCAATATGAAGTTTGATGATACAATACAAACACTTCCAAATTACAGTTCCTAGCTTAACAGTTTGATCACCACTCCAAGAAACACTGTCTTCAATTCAAACTTTAAATTACAATACAGAAGAAATTTTATTTAGGTTAAACATTGCTCCTAGTTTTGCTGTTCCTCTCATCCTGCCATAAACCTTTGGAAATACTTCATTTTGTTAAGATCCTAAGAAAAAATTTTATTTACAACTCAAGAACTATACTGGGATGCTGAAAACAAAATGTCATCAAACCCTTAAACCCAGATGACACCATTATTCATACTCCATGATAGCACAAGTCTAGAATGACTGTGTGCATACCTATTCCTCCTCCGGAAAACACTTTGGGAGCTCATCCCATCGTCTGAAACAGATTTTCATTAACTTTACATCACCCAATTTTGGACATATTTGTTCAGTTCATAAATTTAAGACACCTAAGAAATGCAAGTTAGAATGAAATGATGGTTCTCTTAAAAACTATTGAGGCAACTACCTGAAGAATATGACTTGACCTTAGTTCTTTAAAAATAGTAAAGAAAAATACCATCCTTTAGGCGTTCAAACGAAGAGCTGTGTGTATATATATATATATATATATATATATGCACAATATACCAAATTAATTGAAAGACTCTCCTTAACATACTTGACATATATACAGCTACTTCTGTATACAAGACTATGACAAATTTTACAAACTTAACTGTACGTTCTAATGCAAACCTATTATTTTAAATATTCTTCTAACGCTCTAGCAGAAAAGAATGGGAAATCAGGAAAGCACATAATGAAATAGCTACCTTTTATTTACTTCCTCATCTGCAAATTCTGTGGGTATAAGAGAGAAGTATTTCCCCATCTTGAGCCACAGATTAGATTTCGGGATCCATCCATTGTGTGCATGAATAGTATGGATTTTAGCAAGCTGTCTGGCAATGAGTCTAAAAAAAGTTTAAATTAATGTTACATTTACTGTATATCTGACAGTCTTTGTTACATTTCTCCTAGCAATAAGAGAACACAAGTACAATATATTTAACAGAAAAAACCTATAAAAAAAATGCAGTAAGAGAATCCAAAGAGGGTTTAAACAAGAGCAGCACAGCTATAGGGAAGCATCTTTCAAGGCTCAAAAGGTCATTAGCAGCACTACTTGAGAGGGGAGGTGGGAGGGATTTGAGTTCAGTTACAGCATGCATACTTCATCGGTATTTACAGTCTACTCTTCAACTTGCTTATCTTTAGAAGACTGAAATTAGCTGCCACTGTTAGGCAAATACATTTCAATACATACATGAAAAACTAAAATCTTAAGACATCAGCACTTTCTGTTCACTGCTAATAGTTAAAAAAAAAAAAAATATGTCTCAATGGAAGACTACACCTTGAACCTATTCACAAAAGGAATGTAATAGAAACAGACCCAGGAGTAATTGCTTTAGTCAAGTGCAGCCCCCTGAAATGCTGGGGTTTCAACCCCAAGCCCCAAATTAAGGTTGACATAGGGGTGATTCCCACAGCCCTTCACAAAGGGGGGGTGAGTTACCTTTAAGCTTCCCTCCAGGGTGAGGCTGGCCTGGCAGGGAGAGCCATTAGATAAATGAGCCCCAAGTGTCCAGCATTAAGTAAACAAAGGTCAGGTGTCCCACTTGGGGATAAAAGCTGGGACCCCTTGCAGGAAGGGGCAGTGTCTGTCTGTGAGGTGGATGCACTTTGCAGAGTTTCCTGTTGGGGAAGGACCTCCTGCCTCCCTGGAACTGGGCTCCAGTCAGGTCTGGCTTTTGTAAACGTGGGCTGTGTAGAGATTCAGTATGTGGCTTCCTTGGTCTTATGTATTTAAAAGTTTGTTGACTCGGTTGTCTGTCTCTTCTATGGGAAACTGCATTTCACCATTTATTCCACTTGTTGTTGGTTGTGCAGTGTTGTTGTTGGGGTCAGTGGGACTGATGTTGATTATGTATGATCTGACTTGTTTGTACCCCCAGTGCTCACCCATGTACTGACCCTTTTGTATCAAATACAATTTGGTTATTGGTTCATCTTTATGCTGGCTGTGTCCTTTACGCTAGGCCTAATAATTGGCAAAACACCCCCTCCAACTCCATCATGTTAAATGATCTACCTAATGGTAATGTGCAAGTATTAAATACTCACAATAAGCAGACCTCTAATAAGTAAATATAGACTTCTGGGGAGGCAACAAGGATCATTTGTTCAGACTGAAATATTCTAGTAACTCAGAGGACAGTCAAGAGTGTAAACATCAACTTACTGCAGGCTTATAGAAATATTTCTTTTCTGCCTGCTCATAAACTAAGCCTGAGATCCCTTGTGCTTGACAGAAAATTGTAAATGCATCATAGAACTTGAATAATGAAATAATAATAATGTAAAAAAATAAAAACCTTACCTGAAAATATCTGGATTGCATACATGCTCTGGATCCAGTGCTTCTCCCTGCATGAACTCGTAGCACAGGCCATTATTGAAAGTACAGTATAGTTGAGGTGCACAGCCATGGGCCTGCAACACACGGAAACTCTTCACTTCCTCATCTCTATCTACTAAGAGCTCTGTCTTATTCCCATAGATCCTAACTAGAACGACATCATCTGTTATGTCACCCACATAGCAGCCAATTAATTTATTGGTGATTCCATCGGTGAACAGCTGAAAAATAAAAATACATAAACAACTCAGATTTGCATCTGCATTTTCCATGTGCAGGGAAAGCATGCAGGGTTATTCTTTAGTTCACAAAACACAAGTGTTTATTAGATTGAACATTAGCAAAATAAATCTTTAAGATACTGGAAAATCATCAAGAAAATTGCAGGGATTTTTACCAGTTACACATGAAAAAAGTCCAGCGAACTACAGAAATACTACATTTAAGTGGCAATAACTGGAAACTCAATGTAAAATGAGTTTCCACATAACCACTCCAAAAATGGACTGAAATGGCTGAAATCAAAGCTCCAACAAGGCAGCAATCCTAAACTAATAAAAAAACCCAGCCATGAATACAGGTAGCACAAAAACAATTCTGATGCACTTCAGAATTTCAGTATTTGCTGATCAGTGCACAACTAGTAAAAGATACTGCTGAAGTTCCAAACTACTCCTTTTTAAAAGCAAAATTCAGGTCAGAAACAGTTCACATTTGGTGGTTATCACTTCCCATTAGCCTTGAGGTTTTACTGATTTGAGAAAAATTCCTGAAGTCACTTCAGCTCTTTTGAAGCTTTGAGACTACATAAAATTCAAGACCCTAGGTTTTTAGCATCAAGTACCATTCCAAATTTAAAAGTTTCTGACAAGACCCACTAACCTCTATAACTGGTACGTACCATTTTAAGTATTTAAAAAACATTAAGTCCTTATTATTAAGATGTATAGAAATACAATGTTTAATCCCTGCATTTTACTAGATTTTGACCAGCCTAGTCACAGATTCCTCAACTGAAGCAAGTCACTTTCTACAAAAAAACATAGTATTATTTGAGTATTACCTTTACCTCTAATGACAACCTACTCACTGCATTTCAAATGATGGAGGTATGGATACTGCAAGTCCCCAGCTATGGAAAGGAACGGGGCGGGGTGAGGGGTGGTTATGGAAGGTGGACAAAAAAAACCCAAACCACCCACTCCTTTACTGCTGCTTCTCCTTTCAGATTTGATGACACCTAAAATAGCCATACAGGCTGAACTCAGAGATGCTACCCAACAAGCAGACTAGACCCTGAGTTACTGGGCTACCTGTCACAGTTGTATGTAGTCAAGCATTTGAAATCCTGTTCAATACCTGCAATAGTAACACAACAGTTCTTAATCTCCTCCTACAATCCAGGAGTCTTACAGCTTAGAAAACAGACGTTCAGCACTTGCAAACTCTTTGCACTCCCAGGTCAGACTGAATGCTTAAGAACTTGCTAGATGAACACTACCCATATTAACTCTAACTCTTAGGCAACTGACTGAAGGACAAATCATTAACATTCTCAGGTGACAAGCAACATCACAAGCAAGAACACCAATGTTTTTTCATAACTGCTGAATAGTCTCCTGCAGTCTTCACCATAACAATTTAAAGTCAAGGTTCATACAGCAACTGTAATTTATATTCAAGTATACTTTTCTTTAGTGTTTACAGTCATGCCTCTTTTCCCACTGTTGCACCCAAAACCCTCATTAAAACTTAATTAAACAAGAAGAAACTCTCCCACAAAGCACATAACCTCCTTCCAGGACCTTGTACTAAAACAAGCAAGCAGCAAGTAGCTTTAAGTTGGTTAGCATACACAGTTTTCCCTTGGGTGGACATCGTTCAAGTTTAACCTAACACGTTTCTTTAGGAAGTGCTTTCATCATTAATTCTCATTCTGCCATATATACAAGAAACAAATAAAAGTACAGTGTTATCATCCTTATTAGAACTTTTCCAAAGCATGCAGATCCTTGAAGCTGCAAGCAGCTTTTATTTCAAGGCAACCTAAAGACCCTGGATAGACATTTAATTCCTAACTGTAATAGAACTCGGAAAATCAGCTGAAAAATTAAACTTGTTTATCAGAATTAGAATAGTGTTCAATGACAACAGTTTGAATTATTTACTGATGTCCATTCATGCATCCTCAAGCCCTAGGCAGACCCAGAACAAAAATACTGACAAATGGAGCAGTCTGTTGCATTTCAGGTATTACACTAAACCTTAATTTTATTTTTTTTAAAAGTGCTTTTATTAAAAATACACATCATCAACAGGCAACTTCTCTTCAGGTATCATCATTCCTTAGAACCTTGTACAGTTTGGGTGTTGGGTTTTGTTTTTTGTTTTTTGTTTTTTTATTTTGTCATGGGCTTTGGGTTTTGGTGGGTTTTTTTTTTTTGTTTTTGTTTTTTGTTTTTTTTTAAGTAAAATGCAATTCAGAAACTTTGACTATTTTTTTTTTCTCCAAGAGGCAGCCTTTATTTTGAAAAGTATCATCATTCAAACACAAGTGACAGCTTATTTCCAACTCCCAGGGTTTTACAGAAATCAAGCCTTAGGTGCAGTTTAATTCCTGAAGAAAAAATTCTGTAGTTGGGTCAAGTCTCCCCATTTAGAAAAAAACCTAGACTTTCACAGTGGAAGATGCTGTGTTTAAGGTACTATATGTTGCTTTCCTCAGCACCCCTATGCAATGAGGTAAACTACAATACAGAAGAGGACTGGGGAAGCTTTAGTTATCACAAATAACAACAAATAGCTCAGTTCCCAATGAAAGATGCAGAATAGCAGAGGATACAAAGGTACTCCACTTTCTTAAAACAGTTACGAACTCTATCTGTAGAAGTGGGTTCAGCAAATTGTATACCTTATCTACACAATGTAACCACAAATTCAAATAAACCTGCTTATAAAGCTCCTTGATTGACTCAAAATTATAACTTCAAAATTTATGGACATATTACTAGCTATTATTTTAATCATCCAGAACAGGTCACAAGTAATGAAGAATCTTAAATAGTCTTCATAGCAACTAAATGTTACAAAGTTAATCAGCGCAACTAAGGGAACTATACTGTTTAGCACCACAGACACTGGTTTTCATATTGAAAAGAATACATCTATCCTATCCTTTTGCTTGACGCTTATGTAGATACAAGTTTCCTCTGTGTACATAAGCAACAATCCACATGCTGTATCCAAAGAAGGATGATGTGCTTGAGCAGTTACCTAATTTGAACACGCAGTACTTAAACTGCATTTCAAGTAAGATCCGTAAATTACAAATTACATCTTTATATTATAATGTATTCATTCACTACCTTCCCCCTTGTAAGTGTATTGTCAGAGAACTATTTATATCAGAAGGGACATCCTGTGACCATCAAATTCAATCTCTCTGCTCAAATAGGACCAACTAGAACCAATTGTCCATGACCATATTTAGTGAAATCTCCAGAAATTCTGGAGACTTTACAACCTGTCTGGGCAACCTGTTTCAGTGTTTGACCACCCTCACAGTAGAAAAAGTGTTTTCTTGGGTTCAAGTAGAATTACACGTTTTATTTTGTACCCATTGCCTTGCCTGTCACTGAGCACTGAGAAGTCTGGCTCCCTCTTCATTCCCTCCCATCAGGTATTTACAAGTATTTATAAGATCCCTGCAAGACCTCTTTTTTCCAGGCCAAACAGTGCTAGCCTCTCCTCATATGAAAGATACTCCAGTCATCTTCATGGCCCTTTGCTGGACTCCAATGTAATGATTTAAGCCCTGCCAGGACCGGAGAGTACGTTGCCGTTGCACCTCCCCAACCCTCAGCCGGTCAGGCTGGAAGTGAGGCACAAACCCGGGCTAAAATAAGAAGAAATTTAATACAACATAGTGATAAAACAATCTGAACAACAGCAGCAATGATAACAATAAACAACAGTAATAGTGAACAAGACAAACGATATACAGAGAAATACTGCTAAATGGTCATGGAAACAGGTTCCCACCACCCAGCCCGCCAAAGAGCAAGGTAAAAAAGGTTCCGCCCCTGGACCTGACTTCAGCATGGTATGAATAACCCGGCTGGAGATCCCTTCCCCCTCTCTCTGCTGAGGAAACCTAACCCTATCCTAGCTGAACCAGGACACACAATAAACACATACCTTTATCATACTGAGGAGAGAACAGGACACAGGACTAATACAGCAAATCAATACAGAGAGAAGTACTGATTCTCATACATTTTAACACTGAAAAACATTTTACTCATTTAGAAGTTTAAAAAGCACTTTTGCAGAAGAGATTTGTGTTAAGCTGTCAATCAAGTTTAAAATTATCTTGTCTACCATACTTAAATGAAAACTAATGGCATGTAGCACCAGAAAAAGCTCTTAACCTGTCATTGCAGAGCCAAAAGAAAAGTGAAGGTTCTGTTGAACTAAGAAAGATCAAAATCAGTAAGTATAAAATTCACTACTCCCTCTGAGGGAAATTGTCTTTATCGAATGGCAAAGGTGACAAACAAAATAAGGCAGTAATTCCTAACATACAAGAACACTACTTCAAATCACTGGAACTTGTGCTACTATTTTTTACTTTTTATAAAGTAATCATCTAAAGAAGCATGCCTTTCTCTCCATACAAAATTGTACTATAAAAAAGACAAAGCTCTAAAGTAATTGGAAATAGAGATATGACAAAAACCAAGACATTAAGTAGTGAAGATGAGAAGAAATGGTAAGAATTTGACTTGCTTATGCTGTTGAACAGAAGCTTCTAGCTACTGTACAGCTTTTGCCATACCAACCAGGTCTACTATCCCCTTAAAACAGGTCTCATTAGTGTTAATTAAAAAAAAAAAAAAATCTATAACAGGGAAATTGGACTCCCTCAACTGATAATTTAGACGCTAACAAAAATTCCTATTTGTAACATGGGGCTATAAGTAATTATTTACACTAAGGAACTTTTTAGTTATTGCCTTTTAAAAGGCAGTAGGGTTTGCTTACTTTTCTGGTAATATTATGCAGAGTAAACATTTTCCATATTCCATCATGAGCAAACATCTAATGTTTTATACCAGTAAAAGAAATACTTCATTCTTTTATTCAGAAAGCCTTTACTGTAGCACTTAAAGAACCAGCTTAGAATGCCTTGTCTGAAAGGTAACCTGAGATGTAGCAGAGCAGGAGTCCTTTAACAAAAGCATCAGTTGAGCAGCATAAACAGAGAGTGGACTCTGATGACACAGATAAGTCAGTAAACTCAAGACCATATGGAGGAAGATGGAATAATCTACAGAATGTTATGAATGACAGGTAGACAATTCTGGAAATAAATAAAAAATAGAGACCCAGCAGAAGTCAAGAACATGTAACGCATAAAAAAAAAAATTCAGCAGCAAGATTCCGATACTCAGGTAATCTGCAAAAATTTAATTATTGCAATATGTGCTTATCACACTTCTGGAAATAGTAGTTATACTGGCCCACATATCCAGTCCAAAATCTAGCTTGAAGTCAAGGCTTTCTAGCTCTTGGGAACAAATAGAAACTGTTTACTGAAATGCAGAGTGAAAGTGAGAAAGCTACAAATAAGCCTGAGTTACTCAAATGCAGTCTCAGAAAGCAGCACATGGTAGAAATAGAACAAGTGAGTCCAGGAAAGCAGAGAAAACTCAACCAAGACATGAAGCATCTTTAAGACAGTTTACCCTTTTCTTATTAACAATGATCAGGTTATTAGATTCCTGAAAAAGGGCATGTGATGGAGATGTTCCCACCTCATAAGCAGATAGTTCAAAAAAAACATATATCTGATCCTATTGTTCCAGGTGTTCAAAAGAATGATAACAAAATTACCATCACATTTAAAAAGAATGACCAGGCAGAAACAGCATCACTGGGCAAAGTAGAAATCACTTATCACTCAAAGAGATGTAAAATCAAGCAGATATTTTTCCTTCTAAACTTATTACATCTTTAAGAGAAGAAATGCAGAAAGCAGTATTGTACTGCTGTAGAAGCAGAACAGTGATGTGAAGTTTCAGCAGATGTAGGGATTGCACACTGAAATCTCCAGAACAGAACAGACTTTTAATACGTGTTTCTTTAATCCTCACAGAACTTCAAGTTTATATTTTAAGATGTAAATTCATTTTTTTCTGAAAAAGTATATACAGGCACATCTACAAGCATCTACCTCTCAAGAATTTAATTTCTTGAAACAAGGGGAGTTATTTCTCCATCTTTCTGTAGCTATTTATAAAAAGACAAAGTACAACTACTGGAAAATGCAGACCTCCAGTAAATACTGATATTCAGAATACCTTATGAGAAAGAGCATTCAAAGGTCTCCAGGCTCTGGAGCTATGTCCTGTAGATCATTAGGATCAGCAGGTCAAAAGCCACTGTCTACATTATTTTGGTGGCCACATGATCACGAAGACCACCACTTGGTGTTAAAAAGTAGCAACGTTAGCAGGGAGCCAGTAAATTAATGGCACCACTCCACAGCAAGTTTGGCCACAGGCTGAAATAAGGGTTTTCTACTGAACTCGGAGTGCTCTGCCTTGACAGCAACATAGTGACAGCAATACCACCACTACCTATGATATATAGTATCACTTAAGCATTTTTTGGCTACCAAACACCCAATTCTGCAGTTCCAAGGAAGAACTCGGTGATTTTTTTTTTTTCCTATGGTGTGTGTTTTGGTTTATTTCTTAAGGTCTAAACTGAGGTTTCACATTCTCCATATTCTCAATATAAACATCATTTAAAATTACATTCAATAGTCTATTATAAAATGCTGAAACTATGTCACCCCTTGCAAGGACTGGTTCCGATTTAAATGCGTGACAAGATGAAATAGCATTTTGTGTCAGAAGAAAACCCCAAAGAGAAATGACATCTTTTTCATCTTCTATCTGAAGAATATTTTCCTACCCGAAAACAGTCAACATCAGGTAACTTAGTTAAGACTTTTAAAGGGGTAAATTCTTTTAGATATTTTTACATATTTTGTGATAATGATGAAAACACTGATAAACAATAAAAAAAAATCTAACAGAATAAAATCTTAAGACTCCTTTTTGAAGAAGTATTAGATTCCTGCTCTTCCCCCTGGAAAATTTCGACATGAAATGGCCACATTAACTGTTGGGGGAGGGGGCAACTAAAACATCTTAGATGGCTACCTTCCTTTCCAATGTTACAAGTTCACAGCATAAATTATAGGCCATTACATAGCCAGACCCAAGCTGTGCATAAGCAAATATGGAGTCTCTGTAATTAGAAGCGGAGTGATCAATACGAACACACCTGTATTACGCACAACTGGACTACATCATGCACTGTGATGTGGCACATCAATTACATAAAACATTACCACATGCAGGATTGCTCCTCCACCCACTGATAGCAGAAAAAAACCCTTACAACAAAGGACTGAGATTATCAAACTTCATGAGAAGTAAGAATGGAGAAACCAACCCAGCCTCAAATAACATCAGATACTGCCTATATTTCCTACTTACTGTGACACTGCATTCAAGGCACACCTCAAATTACAGTTTTTCCACAACACATTAGCAATGCAGCCCAATTTGCAACTCTTAACTTTTCTAATCCTTTCCTTCACTCATCACTTCTCCGTTTAGAGATCTCACCACTTCATGATGTTAATCTGTGAACTCAGTCCCTCCTCTTTACAAGGCAACTACTTTCACACTGAGGACGAGCACCACATCCTAAAATCAGATAAGCAATAAAAACTCTTGAAAAATGTAATGACACGGAGATACAAAATTAAAAGTTAACTTTCTTTCACATATACTATATTTTGTTACCATTCAATTATTTCAATGCTTTACATCCCACACTCAATCTGTTTAAATAAACTATGAAATATATTAACTTGTTCAGAAATCTGAACCTAATCAGAGTTGTAAAAAAAATACTAAGTACAACACAAAGAAATTAGAACAGCAGCCAGAAAATAATGCCTGAAAACCTACTGAGCACAAGTCAGTAAGAAAAAGCAGACACAGGGAGAAAAGTTAACCTGGTATGTAAAAAAAAACCCAACGGGGTGGTTTTGCTTTGCTGGTGAAGGTACAATTCTTTATAAGCATGGCTTTGTCTTGTATGTTCACATTTCATAGCCACAGAAATCAATTTCTGGAAAGATTGACAAAATGTTGCAGCAGTAAAGTCACGCAAAGTGTTGATAAATGCAAAGGCACATAAATCATGCCGACAAAGACACAGTAGCAGAAAACAAGCAAGCTCTGATTATTTCAGAGAATAACCCCACCCCCCACCCCCCCCGACTTAATCACGCTGACTTGCAGCAGGCATGTGTAGCCTTTAAGACTTTGATCCCCTTTGCAAAACTGTTTTATTCATATCTCCTCAGGTTTGGACCAAGACTAGAGCGCTGCTTGCTAGCATATAATTTTTATCATTCTCTGAATGATTTTGCAGCTGAATTTTTTTTAACACACAAGATATCATGCTTGTCTACCCAAATGGTGTAAATTAACACTATTAATATTTAGCCTTTTCACCAGTAAAAGCAAGCAGCCTTTATTATCAATGTTAAGGATTAGAATTTAAAGAAACACAGACTGTTTTCTCCTGCACTATAACATTACACTGCAAAGAGGAAATTATGTATTAACCTGCTGAATCCTACATTATGACCAGACCTGTAAGATGCAGATAATGTAGGTCATAGGATAAAAGAATCCCAAATCTGAACTTACTGAAACATACTGTAACCAAACACTGATCCTCCTTCAAACAGTAGCACAAATGGATCTCCATAAAAGAAAGCCAAAAAATTCTTAAGGTGGACAACAGATTCCAAACTGCAATTGTATTTTTACATTAGGAAGGGTGACACAACCTTTTTAAGACAGAAAAGATTCAAAACAATTAAGCTTCTCTATTTCATTAATAAAATGTCCAGAATACAAAAACTGAAATGCCCAGTGTCACAATTCAAGCTGCTTACCAACTCAAAACAGGGTGTGATTGAGTTTTGAAGAGCATTTTTGTTTATGAAGTAAAAAAACCCATTTATCATGTTGACCACAGCCAATTTCTGAATTTAGCAAGCAGTGAGCTTTTCAGCTGGAAGTTGGAAGAGAGTCCTCCAGAGAGCCCTTCCAACCTGAACTACTCTCCAGTTTTATTACAAAAATCAGCTGTTACAGAATCAAAAATGACTACTGCAAAAAAGCAGATTTGCTATAATGACACAGCTTTGTATTACTGTAAAGGAGAGAAAGCAAACCCCAGAAATTGAAGAGCTAAAAAATACAACACCCAGTTCTAGACAGCTCCTAGTACATTCTCAGATGACAACTGCACGATCTACATGAAGATCAGGAAAATTGTTTCTCCTTACCAATGTAAATTTGTTATGTTCTGTAGTGATAACATTCATGTATAACATGAGATAGAGGAGATACGTAACAGTAGAGCTCCTTGTGATTCAGCAAATAATTGGAAAGCTTATGCATTCTATAGACTTTCTAATTAAATAATGCAATAAAAAAAAGCAATTTAAGGACTGAAGTTTTAAATTATTTCCATCCTCTGTCCTACCACTTATGTTCTATGCTATGATACAAAATAAATTTAAAATATATTAATGATTTTAGATACCTGTATATCTCACAGAAAGTGAGGATTATGCATTAACATTTTCTAGCTACACCGTTTCAAAATTCAGTTGACACAGCTAAATTTTTGCAAGAGAAGTTAACTAATTTTTTTAAGTCAAACTCTGAACTCTTCAACTTCCTGCTAATTTTTTTTGAGCCAAGAAGTACAAAGAGCAAACGCAGCTAACAGCAGAGTTCAACAGAGGAAGTAGCAGTTCCTTCGACCTATCAATGGTTTGTGTGCTTCGCTACCATATAGCTGTTAGGCATATTTTCCATACAACACACGATTTTCATTTTCATCTCCCTCATAAATACATGCCCTTCTAACGAGGGGACTACAAAGCAGACCTTCACTCCCTCTTCTTAGTAACAACCATCTTTCAGCATCTTACTGTATGTGATACATGTATAACAGACTGCAGCAGCAATGATAGCAATACAACTAATTTCAAATCACATGCATTCTTGTTTTGTACACACAGCAGTTTAAACACAGACTAAAGAGTTAAAAATAAAAGGCGACTGAAGAGCTTCATGAATAGGGTGTTCTACTGCGGTTCAAAAGAAGCAAAAGGAAAGAAAGCGAGTTGAAAAGTTTTGGTCTTAAAGTAACTTCACTGAAACAAAAATCAAGACAATTTTTAGACAGAACCTCAAGCTGCAGACAGTAGTCTATTAGTTTACTATTGCATGGCCAGGCAAATGAGTCCCCGTTCCACACCAACAGTACTGGTGGGTTTTATTCTGTTAATTTCTTCTTCTGAAGAGGGAGGAAGGAGCATTTTTTTTCCCCCCTTAAAACTACTAGAACTTAAATGGGTCATCCCACCTTAACAAAACGTTTTTATTTCATTTATGAACATTCCTGCATGAAGAAAAATAACCTGTTGAGAATTACCCTTATCAGAGAACTAGAAGAACAGAAACATGTTTAACTTTAGGTTGTTCTGCAAGGAGCAGGGAGTTGGACTTGATGATCCTTATGGGTCCCTTCCTATTCGAGATATTTTATGAACTCTGTTTAGTATTACACGTTGTAAAGCTATTTCCATTGCACCTCAAGATGTTGGGGCTGTGCTTAACATAGCTACAGCTGTCAAATAAATTACTTAGAAAAACATCATTAGCTTTATTATCATACTAACTGGACTGGCATGCACCAAGTTTTTTTTTCTATCAAAAAACTTCTGAAAATTTCAGTCAATTTGTATATTACTACCTCAGTGTGCTCAGTTTCTCTATATAGAGTAGTTCCAGCAGCTCTCTTCAGAGGAGCTTCACTAACATAAGTCATTTGCACATATTAGTAACTGCTAAATATCAAAGTTTAACGGCATGTAATAAAACACTCAACTAAACACAGGCTGCAACTGAACTGCTATTGAGATAGGTAAATTGACCGAAGGCTTGTACGGGGCCAAGCTAAGTATATTCTAGAAGCACAAAAGCAGCCAATCCTCCAGCAGATGACTCGTCATAAATACGAACTAAGGCTCACCTAGAGAACACCAGACTAAGCGGCGAGACTTGTGCCGACTAGTCAAGACATGCAAGCCAGGACGTTAACGGGGCTGATACTTACCGAGAAAACGTCGGCCTAAAACTGATCCCCATAGCGAATCTAAGGCACGTATTTATATTTATTCATGTGGGAAGGGGGGGGCACGCCAAGGGCCCCGCCGACGTTGGCGCCCGGGAGAGCGGGCGGCCCGGCGCCGTTACCTCGGCCGCCGCCACCTCAGCGCTCGCCCCGCCCTGCTCCGCGCAGCGGCGGCAGCCGGCCGCC